TTCCTCAAATAAGTGAATTTAGGATTATGTTTAAATTCAATAGGCTTTAATAGGCTTATATTTAAATTTATGTTCAAATCTCTTAATTACAATTGTTCAAGAATTGTTCAAGAATAATTGCAACAAACGAAAAATTAGATCAACGATGAAAATATAATTTAACGAAATTTCGTTAGTTTTCAATTAAATTCAATCTATTTTTTTCTCAATTAAAAGACTTATTGCTCCGAGATTAGTAAACAGTTATTATGATTCATTTGAGATGTATGCAAATATGTGAACTTCAGCTGTTAAAATGTAGCAAATAGACTTTTGTTAATCTGATAGTTTAGATTGAATTGATTCATTAACATAAGGCACTTAGTAGTGCCTAGGCCTACTAAGTGACTTATATTATGGCCCATTAAGAGAGAAAACAAACATAATAAAACATATTGCAGAAATTAAAATACTGTAATAAAAACTAATTTTTCGATTAAACTTATCTATTGTAAATAAATCAAATAAATATTTGTTTTTATTTTGTATAATAGAAGCAAAATATTTATTTTTATTTAACACTGTTTTGTTATTGAAGAATAAATTACTTCTTAATTAATTTTAAGAATAATTTGCTTGTGGATGGATAAATATTTTGTCCTCTTGGCAGATTGTTTGATTTAAACTTTATAAATCAATTAGATGGGAAGATAAAAATAATTCTATGCTTCATTTAATACACAAACAATTGTGTTAGTTTTTGTGAGAGTTTCAACGAAGCAGAAAATGAAATTTTGTAAACTAGAATTTCAGATTAAATTACATTTATTTAAAATCATTTCTTCCGTATTTTAAGTTTTCTTATCGTATTTTTCCATTAAATTCTCCACCAAATATTCTCTTTTGTCTCATTTATAATATCAATAAAAATCTCTTTATAAGTAATTCACACAATTGTAGAAAACTATAAAATATTCTGAATACTTTTTGTAAAATAATTTCAATTTTTTTATAAAACAGTTACTATTAGTAAAAAAAGTCATTCAATTTAAAAACAATTTCAAATTTACATCGTTTCTTATAAATATTAATATATATTTTTATTTTTTTAATGAATGGATTAATTATAATTAGACCATATAGTATATATACAGCAAACATATGAATATATAATTTACTTTATAAACACTTTTTATTGAAATTTTAAAAGTTCAAACATATATACGTAATTATAAAATGAATTTGAATATGTAACATAATAAACAAGAAATATATCTTTATATCCTCTTATGATTTCGAATAAAAATCCTATATCTGATGGATTTTGAATAAAAAAAATGACGTAATCTATACGTATTAAGTCGACATGATTATTGAAAAGACAAAACCAAATTATTGAAATGTGTTGGAATTACAATTATAAAATTCTAACAAAGAAAATTTAGGTTACTGCTATTAAACATCAATATTAAAAGAGAATTTGCGAAAATGTAAATTTTTTTTTTCAATTTAAAAGATGAATAACATTTAATTAAAATCGTGTGAAATTTTCTGCATTCACTTAACAGTTAAATTATATTTCGAATTACAAAGCAGATAATTAACTAGTTTGTTAATGAAAATGTTTATTCATTTTAGAAAAAGAAAGAGGAAAATCATGGTTCTTTTGTGTTACATAATACATTATTTTCAGTGAAATAATCTTACTAGATGATATCTTTATTTACAATAGTAATGTAATGCAATACTGTACAATAATATAATATAATTTGTATTGAAAATAGCAATAGTATTGAAAATTAATTTTATTGTTTAAAAATAATAGTTGGTATAATGCTTTGAATTATTCATGTCACCAGAGCTTTGCTTTAAAATAATACTGCTGAATGAATAAAACCAATTAAAATTCAATATTAATTAACTTTTGTAATAATGCTCTTATGCACTAATAATTAATCTTATGCATTAATAAATAATATTTCATATTATCAATAAATTCTTCCATATACTGTAAATACTTATTTCCAGAAGACACGTATTAATAAAATATTTTATTCAAATATAAATAAAATTTGAATATTTATACCATTATGTAATAATATCATTTCCAAATTCAGACATTAATTTGAATTAAGTCTAAATTTGTTATTAATTATTAATTTTAATAATCAATAACAAGTTTAGATTTAATTTACACTTAATAAATATTCAAATTTTATTTATACTTGAATAAAATACTTTATTAATTTGTGTATTATATAAGTATTTACAGTATATAGAAGAATTTATGGATAATATTAGTAATTGAAGGGAAAATTAAGTGAAATCATCTTGAACTATATTACACTGTAGAACTAATGATTCATTTAGAGCAATGTTTCTTAATTTTTCATCAAGAATTGCTTACTAAAGTCTTTTTACACAATAGTTTTGTAATCACCCTTTAATAAAATTTAAGAATAACATTGTTTGTTCATGATATTTAAAATTAACTATGTATTTACTTATTTGTTATATATTTTCAAAGCCCTTTTGCGGAATTTTTAAAGGAATGAGGTTTTAAAAAACGCATTATGTTTTTATAATGTAGTTTATTTGTTTTTACAATATATATACTGTATGTAGAGTAACACAATATCGTAGACTAAGGAGGAACTGAACGGGTATAAAATAAATACAGATTATATACAATATACTGTTTATTTTAATTTTTTAATTCTTCCCAAATGGAAGGGGTTAAACTCCCAAAATCCCCGGAAGCACATTACTTTCCTGACAGATATAATCCTAAATTTTTTTTTCTTTCTTCTCTAATTATCGGTCCAAATAAACCTATTTTCTCCCTTTAAGGTTCGATATTATCTCATTGAAAAATATTAGTATGGAGTATAAGGCTTTTCAATATATATATATATATAGATAGATAGATAGATATATTGATAGATAAATAGATAGATAGATATATATTGATTGATAGATTGTAATATCAGTAGTTTAAACATGTCTTACAATTTTTTTTTAATATATACTACTTATATATTATTTTCTACTTCGTAATAAAGACGAAACTATTTTTATTCGTTTACGTACGTAGACTAATGACGTAGACGCCTCTTTCTTATTCGGGGAAAGACTGTAGAAGAGAATCTTACTTTCATTCACCGGAAATATTTTTTTTAGTAGAATTGTCCTACTCTAATTTTTAATTTAAAAATTAAACATAAAATTATGAAAGAATATAAAATGATCACTAAATTATTTTTTCATATTCAGTTTCTATGGAAAATTAAGATAAATTGAAGATAAATTGGCCTCATAAATGTTATGAAGAACAATTATAAGATTCCCAGTGATATGTCAGACAATAATTGTTCAGAAAAATTATATAAATGTTTCACTAATAATTTATAAAAATTTAATTTATCTTTGTTAAATCCATTACANTGGATAATATTAGTAATTGAAGGGAAAATTAAGTGAAATCATCTTGAACTATATTACACTGTAGAACTAATGATTCATTTAGAGCAATGTTTCTTAATTTTTCATCAAGAATTGCTTACTAAAGTCTTTTTACACAATAGTTTTGTAATCACCCTTTAATAAAATTTAAGAATAACATTGTTTGTTCATGATATTTAAAATTAACTATGTATTTACTTATTTGTTATATATTTTCAAAGCCCTTTTGCGGAATTTTTAAAGGAATGAGGTTTTAAAAAACGCATTATGTTTTTATAATGTAGTTTATTTGTTTTTACAATATATATACTGTATGTAGAGTAACACAATATTGTAGACTAAGGAGGAACTGAACGGGTATAAAATAAATACAGATTATATACAATATACTGTTTATTTTAATTTTTTAATTCTTCCCAAATGGAAGGGGTTAAACTCCCAAAATCCCCGGAAGCACATTACTTTCCTGACAGATATAATCCTAAATTTTTTTTTCTTTCTTCTCTAATTATCGGTCCAAATAAACCTATTTTCTCCCTTTAAGGTTCGATATTATCTCATTGAAAAATATTAGTATGGAGTATAAGGCTTTTCAATATATATATATATATAGATAGATAGATAGATATATTGATAGATAAATAGATAGATAGATATATATTGATTGATAGATTGTAATATCAGTAGTTTAAACATGTCTTACAATTTTTTTTTAATATATACTACTTATATATTATTTTCTACTTCGTAATAAAGACGAAACTATTTTTATTCGTTTACGTACGTAGACTAATGACGTAGACGCCTCTTTCTTATNACATATTTGAGCTCATGTAGTCAGTTAAGTTACAAAGGACATTATTTAATTCATGTTGCACTGCCTGGAGGTTATTATTGGAATGTATTAAAACAATATCATTTGCATATGCTTTAACTTATAGCATTAACTTGATGTATGTAATTATAATAAGTGGAGTCCATATACAGTAGAGCATCGATTTTCCGAATCAATTGGGGACTGGGGTTGTTCGGATAACTTATTTATCGGATAACCAATTATGTACGAAAAAATATATTACTGTAAGAAGTAATAAATCGATTAGATAAAATAAATTAAGACGAACGGATTTAGGAAATGAGTCATTTTGAAATATGTGTGTATAAGTTATATATACATATACTGTATTAATATTATATAAATGTATTTATTACTACTTTTAAGGCTAGACTTAGACTTGTTGTGGCATAAGCTATAATAATTATAACATGCTCTTCCCCCATTATATAATGATAAGGTAAAAATGTAAGGCCTCAGCTACAAACTTATAATGCGAGGCCCTAAACTTCACTATGTTTAAGCAGTGTAAAGGCCATGTTTAGTTTATGTGCAAATTCGACTCTGACTATTTTAATATAAAACTTTTCTCAAATAATCTATTATAATTATTCTGTTTTTAAAAATAGAAGTTTTATATGAATATATTTTCAAAATTTTATATTTTTGAAATTTTAAGTCAATGTAAGTTATTTAATTTTTATCATATATTTTCATTATGTAGGTAATTGGCATCATATGCATGGGATGTGGTTCACCAGTTAGAATAAATTATGCTCATTTTTTTATGTTCGTCGTTGTTATTTGCTTCCTCATCACATTTCTTCTTTGTTTTGCATTTCTCATAAGTTTGAAAGACATTACACAAAAGCTTCCTTGGATGGAAGGAGTAAGTAAATTTTTTAGTTATATAAAGTGAAAATATATTTCACTTTAGATATAAAGTGAAAATATATTTCACTTTATATCTAATTTGTTTACATTTATTTTTATTATATTGATTTTTTTTAATAATCTTTACAGGAATTAATTTATACGGGCATTGCTACAATTTTATATTTTATTGCTGCTATTGTTCAACTTGCTATGACTGTTGAACAGGATAATAAATATTTCCTTAACCCTTTGAAGTATATTGGAGTCTATGATGCTTACATTGCTGCTGGAGTAAGTTTTGAAATTACTGCAATTAGACTAATTTCATAATGTTCACATAACATGAAATTATTCCTTAATAATATATAGATTTACGAATAATATAGTAAATTTGTGTATGTTATTGAGCAAAAATCAAATAATAATAACTTTATACGGAAGGGCTATGTAAATATTCTTACTTTTGCAAATTTGTATAGTTTTGTTAAAATACAAAAAGTACAGGGTGATTCAAAAGTCACAGAAATTAAAAAAATAATAATAATTCACAAACTATTTATAGTAAGACGATGCGGTTTTCACAGAAATGCTTAGAAATAAACGGGATTTTTTAGATGTAATAAAAATTTTAGTACCAAAACAGTTACATTTCTTGCCATAGATGGCGCTGTAAAAACTGAAATCATTTGTCATTTTGTTAAAGTAAGAATAAAAAACTAAAAATGTTCTTAGTGTAAGCTCTAGTAACAACTTCACAAATTATGTAATCTCATCAAGCGCCATCTACGGTAAGAAATGTAACTGTTTTGGTACTAAAACTTTTATTACACATTAAAAAATCCCGTTTCTTTTTAAGGATTTCTGTGAAAACCGCATCATCTTATTGTAAATAGTTTGCGAATTATTAATTTTTTAAAATTTCTGTGACTTTTGAATCACCCTGTATTAAAATTTAAAAATAAAAAATACAACGGAAATGAAACAATCACACGCTGAAGGAGCAACCTAAAAAAGTTTATTTAAAGTCAGAAATAAACTAGTAAACGAGTAGCTCGAATGATATAACAACATTCAATCTCTGTCTACACATTGCGCAGCATGTCAGGATCAACTTTTGCACAGGAATCATTTATTCTTTGTTTCAACTCTTCCATTGTTGTTAGCAGTGAGGAATAGACACTTACAAATCTTCATAGAAAAAAATACAGGGCATCATATCTGGTGATCTGGGAAGCTATGTCAAATGGCCTCCACGTCCGATCGAACATTGAGCCAAATGTTGATCGAGGTACGACCTCACATCGCTATGGAAGTGAGGCGGAGTCCCATGTTGCTCGGAACACCATGTTCTGAATACACTCTTCTGATTGAGGCTGCTCAATGAGAGGTTGATTATGATGTCATTCGAGCTACTGGTAGTGCTCACATTTAACTTGACTAGTTTCTTTCTATGTGTAAATAAATTTTTTGTGCTGTTCTTCCAGCTCGTGTTTGTTTCATGTATGTACGATTACAGTACCTTACAACAGGGCTGTGGAGTAGACTCCGAAATTTTAAATTTAATTAATTTTTTTTTATTTAAATGAAAGAAAATTTATTTTATATTTAATAATTTTTTAAAATGTTTTTGTATTTTGTTATAATTCATTTATTTTAAATACAAAATGCAACAATTTAATTTATTAAATATGTATCAATAGTTTTCTTTGTAGTATTTGTGTTTAATAGTTAAATTATTTTGACCCAATTGAATTTGAATAT